CGTCAGAGAAATCTTTGGAATTTGGCAGATTAATCCAAACGGCACCCTGTTCATTTGTGTTGGTGTCCTGCCCCTCGCCAATGTCTGTTTCATTATTTGTTGTTGGCATCGAATGAGACGGTTGGGATTTTCCTGCCCCTTCTGCTGTTCCAGTCAAATGCAGACTCTGAAACAAATACAACAAACACATGTGCAAACTATACAGATTAGGATTAAATTTCAGAACCAGTTTTAGATTGTTGTGAATTTTCCCTCAGATGCATTTTTAAGCAAACACTTCACGACTGTCCGTGTTTTATGTTATGTGTTGTGTTTATTATTTTACTTTATGTTAACTGTTTTGTTGAGCGCTTTGTTACGGCTGCTGCGGTTGTGAAAGCGCGATATGAATCAGGATGTATTGTATTGTGAACATGTTCATTGCTGGGACACACAATGTTTTTAGATTTTTGAAAGAGCAAAATGACTTCACTTCTGTTATACTTCAATCCAACATGACAAAAATTGCACCAAGTGGCACAAACCTGTTCTCCAATGTCACTGTCAGACGAGTGTCCATCATTTACATCAAGATGAGATCCATCTTCAAGACTCTGTGAACTTTCTCCCACCACGTTGGGAACAGATAAAAGAGCTTCACTGCATTCATCCAGTTGACATGTTGGAGGATTTTGTTTTGTGGAAATGTAAAATCTAAGAAGCTTTAATTTGGTCTTTTCATAGAGTCTGCCAACCGTTTCATCGAGAGCAATCGGATTTCTTTTAAAATCGCAGACCTCAAAAGTAAAGTCACCAACTGGTCCTTTTTTTGAGCTTCCATCTGGGAAAAATAGCTCTCTTCCCAACTCCAAAATCTGAGCGACGGTTGCCGTTTTTTTCATGATGGCATGCCTTGTTCCTCCACCATTGCTTGTCCTCACTTGATGGAAATCGTTGCTATGAAAATGGAGCCACCCGATTTCAATCTTCCTGTGAGACTTTTCAGCAGAAACATTTTTAAGTCTTGCCATTCTCTCATCATGGTTTTGGAGCACACTTGGAGATCCACCCAGTACACCTTTTTTCCTCGATCTTATTTTGTCTCTCAATCTTTGGAGGAGCATTACATTGTCACCGTTGGACATTTTTTGCTGACAAAAGCAAAGGACAGCTATTCTATCACCATAGGACGTGATATATTTGCCCATTTGCTCTTCAGTCATCAGAGAAATTACTGCCATGTCAACCTGCAAAGATAAATTGTGAGAATGAATACTTGAAATTTTGACTTCATTAATAATAACTTTTAACAAATGTAACATGAGTCATGGTACAGAACAGTACAGGTAGAGTAGATAGAAATGCTAGCTTCACTTTTCCCGACAAGTTAGTTTCTCACTGTATTTGGAGGTCTGCATGACCAATTACTACTACGATGACTACTACTACGATTAATAATAACAATAATACAATTTATGTAAGGCTTTTCTTACTACTCTTGTGACGCTTATTACGTTACAGTGTACGGCTGTATGCCCACCTTGTCGCTTTTCATGCGCGTAATGTCCACCTGAGGGACATTTCTTGATTGTAAGAAGTGTTCCAAGTCCTCCTCCATGATTCTCTCCTCCCCCGAGGTAGTGTCGTCTCTCAAATGAACCGCGCACGTGATTCTCTCCTCCGAGGTAGTATCGTCTCTCAAATTAGCCGCGCACGAGTGAACATTCGCCAAACTGACCCGGAAGTAGATCAACGCGCATAAAAAAAAGAAAAGATTGCGAGATCTCGCAATCTTTGCAAGGGAACGCAATCTTTGCAAGGGAATGCAATCTTTGCGAGATCTCGCATTCTTTCTTTGCGAGATCTCGCATTCATTGCGAGATCTCGCATTACTTTGCGAGATCTCGCAATAGTTATTTTTTTTTCCTTCCATGTCCCCTTAGGGGCTCCGTAGGTTTTTAATGTGTTACCGTGATTGAAACGAAAGTTCAAAATGGAGGGTTGCGATTGCGTGGCGTGTCCACCGGAGGGAGACACTTTCATGCCTTCGGAGACTGTGCCTTTTTTTTTTTTTTTTTTTGGGGGGATTTTTTTCCCCATTTCGCGTTTCATGCTTGTTTTTTGACACTTATTTTCTTATTTGTATTGGATACATTATTCATTAAGTCGTTTTATCCCCCTTTTCATAATCAGCTCAGGTTGATTTCAAATTGCTTTCATAAATTTGGTTTTTAATGTGGTACCGTGATTGTACTGGAATTTCGGATTGGATGGGTGCGATTTCGCGGCGTGTCCACCGGAAGGAGACACTTTCATGCCTTCGGTGATTGTGGCTTTTTCTTTTGTTTTTGGCGGATTTCTTTTTGGCGGAATGATTCCCACCATGCTTTGCGGCACTAAGTATCGTGTTTAACGCTTGTTTTGTGACACTTATTTTATTTGTTTTGGGTACATCATTTATTCAGACGTTTTTTTTCCGTTTTCATAATAAGATCATGTTGATTTCAGTTTGCTTTTATAAGTTTGGTTTTTAATGTGGTACCGTGATTGTACTGGAAATTCGGATTGGATGGGTGCGGTGGCGCGGCGCGTCCACCGGAGGGAGACACTTTCATGCCTTCGGAGACTGTGCTTTTTTTTTTTTTGGCGAATTATTCTCACCATGCTTTGCGGCACTAAGAATCGCGTTTCATGCTTGTTTTGTGACACTTATTTTCTTATTTGTATTGGATACATTATCATTAGGTCGTTTTATCTCCCTTTTCATAATCATCGAAGGTTGATTTCAATTTTCTTTCATAAATTTGTTTTTTAATGTGGTACCGTGATTGAAACGAAAGTTCAGATTGGAGGGTTGCGATTGCGTTGCGTGTCCACCGGAGGGAGACACTTTCATGCCTTCGGAGATTGTGGCTTTTTTTTTTTTTTTTTTTTTTGGGGGTTTTTTTTGTTTTTTGTTTTTTTTTTTTTTTTTTTTTTTTTTTTGGTGGATATTATTGACTCTTTGGTCCAATCAAAGTGTTGGGATTGTACCTTTTCCTACTGAGCCAGTAGAGGGCAGTATGACTCTCTCTTTTGTTTCATAGTGAGTGACGTGACCGGCCCTATCAAAAGGGACGCGCCTTTTTCACCCTTTTCTCTTCTCTCCACCTGTTCAATAAAAACACGCCGATACATGGCTGATGGGAACACCTCGCTCAACTTGTCATTCTTGGGATGTTAGGCAGAAGGACGCCAATCTGCACGTGCCGTGAAGCGACTCTGCAAACAAAAAGCTTCATGGCGGAGTACGGCAACTTTGGTGACAAAGCCACACTTTTTTTGGTTTGAGGTGACACTTATGCAGTATACCCGCGTGTCACCCCTCAAGGCGGCTGGATAAACTGGAGGAAAAGAACCTGCGTGACACGTCTCTTGCTTTATTAGAATGAGTAGTAGTAAAATATAAACACACACCGCGTATATAGAGGACAAACCGGAGGTTGGAACCGATCCTTCAAAGTAAAACCTAGTCATCGAGAGCATATTTGTCTAGTTCACTACACACTCGCTCGCCGTGGAAGCATTCGGTGCTCGTGCCTTGCCAAACTCTTCCATCCAATACAAAGTCAATGGTGGAGTCTCTTCTCCCCCCCCCCCCCCCCTTTCTGCACCCTCAAAACCATTTGTTTGACGCAGCCGTGATGAGCTCGAAAAACGTTGTCTCAAAACTGCCGAGCGCAAAAAGCGAGGCGCAACCAAAATGACACTCTGGATTCCGTTTCGTGACCGCCGCCCACGTCGCAGCCCAGAACTGGAACGGAACGGAACGGAACCCCGCAGATCAACGCACATTCAACCGGGTGAAAATGCATCCAAAAAAAAAAAAAAAAATGAAAAGGAGACTTACTGTCACGTTTGTGTGGTGGTGGTGGTGGTGGTGGTGGTTGTGGTGGACCCCAAAAAGCAGGCAGGAGGGAGGAGCAGCTTGTTCTTGAAGTGTATTGAAACAGAGAAAACTCAATCCAAAACATCGTCCAAAGTAGCAAACAAAAATCACCAACTGAAGCTAAAACACAACCGTGACCAAAACGCACATGACAGTTACAAGCAAACAATGAGCCGACACCGACTTGCTTGTGCCGGCAGTCCTTTGAAACAATTACATCACGACATAACGAGCAACAGGTGTGCAGCTGCAGGGAGAGCCCTACAGTGCCACCTGGTGGTCACAAACCGAAACATGACACTTACTTTCGCCATCACTGGGGTTGGTTAGATTGGGAAATACATTATTTTTCATAATGACTCAAGACTGGACAATCAGAGTCGCGCAAAGGGGAAGGGGGGGGGGGGTTATTTTGTTCCCTGGTATTTTCCTTGGTGACGTCACTCATGGAACAAACTGAGGGGGAGGGCTACAAGGGCGATCCCTCGGAGTCTCGCGTGACTTGATCAAGTCCACTCATCCAACGCAAAAGTCAGCGGCCAAATGCGCTCGTTTGCTTTCTGACTCTTCACGTCGAAACGCGACACACCGCCGGAGCAGAGAAGAAGAAATGGTCGTACGTTGTCATCCAACACCGGAAGACGATTTCTTTTGGAATCATTCCATTTACAAAGCCGACAAGAATAGTCGAGGAAACGTGGAGAAAAATTCCAATCTGGAAATGCGTACAACTTCAAAAACACGCCAACAAGCGAGACCGAGTCGGGCCGCGACACTTGGCTTTATTTTTGGAGCGCAAAGCAAACGCACAGCGCCACTTTTTGTTGGTCGCCATTGACATTGATCGGTGCGTGAAAAGCTCGCTTTCCAAAAGAAATGACCTCAAATCACGTCTCCGGTGAATTGCGATGATCTTTGGATGATTGACTTCTGTTGCAGATTGCCGTTGGACGCGGATCACGTGATCGTGGCGATTTAGGGTTTGGTCATGGAGCCATTTTGAAAAGCCACGTCATTCCACGTGAGTCGCGCTCTCGTCCGTACCGCCCGTCCCGTTTGTCCTTCCGTCCATCCGCACGTGCCTGGAGAGGCGCGACATCGCTCCGGCGAAAGAGAGCGAGAGAGGTGTGCGCTCAAGTTGGCTCGGAGTCCACGCGATGACGCTCGGCCAACGCAGAAGGCGGCGGCGGCGGCGGCGGCGGCGGCGTCAAAAGCCGGGAATGTGGCAGTAGGCCTCGAGCGACGACAAGACGACATACGTCAACCACAGGCTGAAGAACAGGCCGGCGGTGGCCGTCTTGGCGAGCGGCGGTCCGCCGAGTTCTCCGCCGATGACGGCGTTGCTTCCCGTCACGTTGCCGATGGAGGCGTCGGCGTACTGGTCTTGGCAGGCCGCCACCTTGCTGGCGAAGGTATCTGAGGAAGACACAGGCCAGATTGTGTGCGGGCGCCGCGCCGGATGCCATGACGACGACGGCGGCGGCGGCGGCCTACCTGGCACGGACGTTCCCAACGCCACAAACACCACGGCCGTGACCGAGTCCTTCAGGCCCACCGTGCAGCCGAAATGGGAAGCCAGGTCCCCGATGAGCGCCGTCAGCAGGCCGATGACCGCGATCGAGACCACGAAGCACGCCCAGCCGTTCCAGTAGTCGGTGGGCGGGACCAGCGCGAACAGAAGCTTCCAGAAGACGGTCAGGAAATGGATGGCGTAGTCCAGAGCGGAGGGAGGCTTCTTGCCGCCGCCGTTGTCGTCGTCGTCGTCGTCGTCTCCTAGACGCAACACAGACGTGCTCGATTTGCAGACTGGACCTCAGCATTCTGGTCTTGCGGGCGTCTTTCCGTCTTTCTGGTCTTGCGGGCGTCTTTCTGTCTTTCTGGTCTAGAGGGCGTCTTTCCGTCTTTCTGGTCTTGCGGGCGTCTTTCCGTCTTTCTGGTCTTGCGGGCGCGAGCGGCAAGATCAGCCAGTCAAAGACCGCCAAAAGCAGCCGAGAGTCAAAGCGGCAAAGCTTCTGCGGCAGGCGAACTCGCTCTCCCAAGTGAGCCGCAGCCACTCGGCAAGAGCCGCCCAGTCGCCGAGCCGGCCGACGGCATCGAGAACCCCGGCCGGTCACCGGCCATCGCCGGCTCCTGGCGCCGGACGACCGCGACTCAGTTGACGGGAGCGACGGCGACAGAAGGTTTGGCTCTTCCACGTCATTGCCGCCGGTCGTGCCGCTGACGCCAGCGCAACAAAGCCCTGCCGGTGGATGTGATCGATTTGTTCTTTTGTTTGAATGAAAGAGGCGTCATGGCTCAGCGCAGCGCTTTCCCAACACGGGTGTCGATGCTTCGGTCCCTGGCCATTGCGACCGTGAGCCATCCACCGTCCTCGAGCACTCGCTCCGTGCGCCGCGTCACCAGTACGTGAGTGCGCTCCGCACGAGGCAGGCCCGTTGACCGTTTGACCATCCCGTCGACCATGGAATTTGCTTACCTGGGCCGATTGTGACGGCTTCCGCCAATTGTTCTCTCCACGACGTCGTTCCCACCAGCACGGCCAGTCTGGTCTTCTTCAGAACCTTGTCCACCGCATTCTGACACACACACACGCGCACACGCACAGGATTCCGCCATGGTGGACATCGATCAATTCTTGAACGTGCGCTACAGAGGAGCAGCCCTGCGTCCTTGATGTCGTTTGAACATGACGCGTGAGAAGACGACGGCAACACCTTAAACTCGTACGACTCCTCAATGACCACTTCCAGTTTGACGTGCTGGCCCAACGCCGGTCGACCCGTGCGTGCGATTCGCCGCTCGTCTTCCTCGTTTGTCCCAAAGTCCTCGGCTTCCTCTGAGGCGCACACACACACACACACACACACTTGCACTGAGGTGCAACCGGGTGGGATGGACGCGCCGGTGCGCAAAACCGTACCTGAGATGGTCCTAACAGAAGAGGGCTCGCGCTGGTCTTCTCGTTGGAGCTTTCCGTAGACCGGCTCTTTGCCTGTCAGACGGTGACCGGGAAGGGAAACGACTGCCGTCATGGAAATAGGCAAAAAAAGGAGGCGGGGGCAAAAAAGGTTGCGGGAAAAGGACACCCGGTCCACCTGACCAGGTGGCCACTCCGGGAGCGGGCGCGTCCGGGTGTGTCGTGATGAAAAAAGGGGGGCTCTTACCGAACAACGGTTTGTCTGTCAAAGCAAAGCGCTTGATTAGCCACCGGCTAACGCGATGGCCTTCCCGTATGCGTTCTTTGACCCACCTGTCAGCAAGAATCCACCTCCGGCGTCTTGAAGCAGAACAGCTGCGAGGACGTCCGACACACAAAACGGGAAAGAGAAGAGGCGTAAACAAAAGAACGTGGGAGTGGATTCGTTCGGACCCAAGCAAAAGATGGCTGGCAGAAGACCAAATATTTCAATGGTGTGTGTGTGTGTGTGTGTGTTTTGGGGGGAGGGGGCGGCTCCAAAGTATTTGACAACATCTTGGACTCAATCATGCTGACAACTTGGCACTCTTACTCCGAGTTGCTGATGAACGATCGTGACCGCTCCCAAATTGGCGGTCTCCTGTGGAACAAAATACCCCTCGATCCCCCAAAAGAATCCCCAAAAGCACAACGTGCGCACTGCGGGAATGAGCCGCCGACGTCTCCCGAGTCTCATTGTGCACACCGAAACGTTGCCCAAAGTCCTCCGAAGCCCACCTCGGTGCGACCGCACAGTGGGCTCCACGTTGCTCAATAGTTGTATTGACACGGCCCTCAAAGTCTGTGGCTGTTCACGATGCGCTCGGGAGTTCACCCGATTCCTTTCGGGAAGTGTACGTGCGGAGGACAGCGGGGACGGAGGAAATCGATTGACACAAGAGGCAAATCGATCCATCCGATGAGGACAAAAGCCCCAAACCGGGGCCCAGCCTTCCATCGTGGAGATGACTCCGGCTCATCCGGGTTGACGGACCGACCGCTCGGTGAATTCCAAGACGTGTGGGCCCCTCGTCTGAGCAGGCCGCCTCGGTTCAAATGCGACGAGGCTTTTCATTTGCGACCGAAGCGCAGTATCGGCGCCAGTGTTGTGTCCAAGGACCGGCAACCCGAGGCCAAGGCCGAGGACCAAGGACCGACCTTCGGTCCTCGAGGCCAAGGACCGGCTCGAGGAACACATCACCGATCGGCGCAACGTCGAGGTTCGACTGGCATGATATTTGCCCGCCCGGGAGCGCTTAGCGGAGCCGTTTAGCGGACAAGAGGCGAGCGAGACCACACCCCCCACACGCCCCCACCTTTCCTGCGGCTCATCTCCAGCAGTCGCGGCTCATCCATCTCCACCCAAAACTTTTTGTTCTTCTCGTACGCTTCGTCGTCGACGATGTTGATCCGAAGCGTTTGACTGAAATGCAAAGAGGAGGGTCGATGACGAAGGCAGGG